GCTGCATGGGTATTGTTAGTGGTTAAGGCAGAGCAATGGATGCTGAGAGGAGAAATGGGCTGGAGAAAATCTGTGTAATGCTCAACAACAGGTTATGTTCTGTAACTACTGGGTGTCCCTAAAGAACCAAATCTGCCCTCTTGCCTTTCATTAATAAACCTTCTGCCAAAAAGCTCATACTTTGAAAAATTAAACATTAATCTTGACTCACATAATACCTCAAATATAATATTAAAGGTCAAAAAGGAGCACCAAAAAAAATCTGCTCTTCTTCAAACTCAAATTCTGATGTTCTTAAAAACATTTTTTTAATATATGTGACTCCTGACTTAAGTATCCAACATTTATTGGAAGAAATAAATTTAAAAGCCATATAGTTTTGAAAAATCAGAAAATTCTTTGATGTTGTGGAAAATGCATGACTCAAAGAGTCAAAGAAAAGTTTCAGTTGAAATTTGTGGCTCAATATTTGTTTTTAAATGTTGATAAAAAGTTGGCACTCACTCAGCATATAAACAGTACATTAAATTACTTTTTTTTCTCACATTAAAAAAATTAGAAAGAGGAATGTTTTTCTTTGGACACACCCAGTAGTAGTAAGAAAAAGGGTACGTCGTAGGTAAGGGTTCGGACCCTTGGTCCTGTGGACCGTTACAAACGGTCCCAAATGTGGTCGTTGGACTGGTGTTGTCCCCAAAAGGAAGAGGAGAGGGAGGGGGTGGTTCGTCCTTTACTCCAATGAAACAGGTGCCTTCCATGGACAAGGGAACAAAGGAAACTTTCCAGGCGACAAACTGGTTGTCAGACAGACTAAATTGCCCCCCTTTTTGCTGTTCCCTCAAAAGCCCCTTGTATATGTGGGGACCCATAGGAGAGAAGTGGTTAGTTTCCTGAATCCTGGCTCCAGATCACTTCTCATCCTCATGTGCTCCACAAAATCTTATCAATGAAGAGGCAGAGAATAAAGGAAACCTTCTGGCAAAATAAATAAATAAATAAAATTGGCAATGAATCCCATGTTGCATTTCCAGAAGCAGAATCCCAAACACAGTCTGGAATCTCATTGAGCATCTCTTCTACTGTAAAATATTGGAAAACAATCATAAATCTCCAAGAGATCAAAAAGAATTTCAAATCTTCAATGGCTCTGCCAAGATATGTTTGCAAACCCCAAAAATCAAGAAAAGATGCCCAGCTAAAATTAAAAAGAACTTAAATTTCATTTTTTCTCAGATGAAGAAATGAAAATTTATGTCAACACTAATTTAGCAAATCATAGACTGACATTGCCAATGAATGAAGAGCTTGATTTTGCTGGGAAAATCACCTGACATCTGATGGGTCCTCAACCACAGGGTTATTTACAGGGCCAGCAACTGGGTTGGCCAGAGATGCCCTGGGGGCAGGAAGGGCTATTGGAACACTAGCCTTCTTCCCTTTGCCCTGCAACAACTTGAGGACATGAGAGTCCAGTGCAGTGTCCATATTGTGCTTTTCTGCATGAAAGACCCTGATGACAGAGCCCAGGAATCCATTTACATCAGGGTCACTCATCCAGATCTGGAGAGTCATTGGGGCTTCAATCAAGTTCAGCAAGGCTGGTGGGAGTGTCAACAACAACAACAACAACAACAAATACATTCCTCATGATGCTGTAAACTTGTCTTTGTTCAACCAACCAGCAATAGTCTTTGGTTTCAAAAGTGCCAGTTGGACTATGGGTTGTTTGATGATGGCTGCAATCACAAGGTTCTCCCTGGGCAACCCTTGTTCATACAGAGATGAATATTTCCCTTTGCCTGACAGCAACCATTCCAACTGCAAATCACCATGTTTTCAGTTTTTCAATATTGGGACACTTGAAATTTGTAAATATTTTCTTATTTAAAACTTCATTTTTTTGGCACTAATTTAACAAAAGGCACTCATTTGATACAATCATTTTCAACATAATCAGTCAATGTAATGCTTTAAATTATCTTTATTTAAAAAAAATTATATGTTCTATGGTATGGCCAACCCATTTTCTTGCTCAAAAACTGAACCTTTCATAACTTCAATTTTTGAAATTTTGTTTGGCCAACAGTGTCCTGGAAACTAATTTTAAACAGTATTTTATCTATTTTGTGGAAGCAAAGTGGGAAATGAAAATGTCACTGAGACTCACAGCTGGTCCCCTTTTGTTCCCAGTGATCCTCAAAGAATCCTCAACCTCCTCCTCCTCAAATCCCATTTCAATCAGTGACTTCATCATGCCAAAGTGAGGTACAAAATGGGATCTGTGGTAGTCATTCATCATGTCAAGCAGCTGGAATCAATTTTCAAGTGTATTGAATCTAAATCAATATTTAAAAAGATGTATTTTTACTTCTTTGAGGACTTCATCCCAGGGTCTTGCTGATGCAGGTCTTTCTGTATTCACTGCACCTGTTGCAAAAGGGGACTGACTCAAGGGTGAGCCTGAGTAAATCCTTGGTGATGATGCCAGAGCTGCTCTGTTCAAAGGAGATGCTTTGCCTGGGATGGATAATATTTAAACCATAGAAATTTATACAGAATTTTAAAGCTGAAAATTATGTTTCTTTTTTTGTAGTACACCTGTTCCTCTGTTGGCCTTCTTTCCAGCCCCAGAGGGTTTTCCAGCCTCAGCAATACTCCTTGCAGCATCTAACTGTTCAAGAAAGGTGTGCAATTCCTCCTTGGAAGGCAAGCAAATTGTGACTTGTGACAAACCTGTGCATCTGTGGCTCCTCTGGGGTATTTTGCCAGCCAACCTGCAGCATTTTTCACATTCTGTCTGCAAAGAAAATGTGAAATAAAACTTTTGAATTTTCTGATCAATGTGCTAAAAATGGGGAAACCTTCATTGCAGATTCCATGGGACAATTTTGTATGAAGATTGATTTCCATAGATTTAGAATTAAATTTAATGAATGAATGAGAGAGAGAAGCAATTTGTAACAAACAACCTGGTCATGGCCAAAACTTGAGCAGCCCTCCTTTTTGGGAACCCCATGTCAGTCAGGGTCTTCAACTTCTCAGAGTCCAGATCTGAAAAGTCCTCAACCTTGGTCTTGATCCTTTCTAGGGTCTGCACAAGGAGATTCAGGACCACTACATCCTCACTTTGCAGCTTGCAGCAACACTCCACCAGGGTGACAAACAGCCTCCTCATTTGCAAAGGCATCTTTTTTTTCAATCAAAAATAAGTGAGGTAACTGAAAAAAATGTATTTTGGCATTTCTGAATTGATGGTCTCACTTCCAGTAAAGAGTAAGGTGGGTCTGCAACTCTTTCTGCAAAGGCTTTCTTGACTTGTCCAGTGACCTTGTTGATTTCTGCATTTGTGGGGCCTCTTTCAAAGTCTTTGGTGTCAGACCCTAAAGGTTTGACTGGGGATTTCAGGAGCAGCATCTCTGGAGAAAAGTGCTTGTAAATGGGATGAACTTTTGTCAATTCTACAAGCACTTGAGTTTAAACATTAACTCAACTTTTAATTTTGTTTGAACCTGTTTCATG